ATCCAAAAATATTAGAATTGATCTCAAACCATCCCAATTTTGTTATAATTGCAACCCACAAAATTTGTAACTAGACTCAAAAAAAATTATAAATTTTGGTATATTACTAAATAACAAATTATTAATACCACAGTGGTAAGAGATTCAAGCATGGCAACGAGAAAACAGGTAGATGCCGAAAGACAAATTCAGAATGCAAAAAGGATAAGGAAGAAGATGACAAGCTTACTTAATCAACATACCTTGAATATATTTGATGTCTGCACAATAATATACANATGCCGAAAGACAAATTCAGAATGCAAAAAGGATAAGGAAGAAGATGACAAGCTTATTTAATCAACATACCTTGAATATATTTGATGTCTGCACAATAATATACAAAAAAATTATTCGCAGATAAATAAAAAGAAAGCATAAATAAACTAGGAAATTATCAATTCAACTCACGTCTTTAAGGACCTCTCTATGCCACGTCTTGTGCGATCTAGCAAGTGTAAGTAACCAAAACAACTATAAACATTAATATATAGTCACCATAAAGGATTGCTTTGCTTAGACATTATTCCAAGGCAAGTATTGTTCTTTTTGCCTAACTAAAATTGGTAAAGTTGGTTATTTGCTTAGTCTTAGCCGTCAAGCCNTTTGCTTAGACATTATTCCAAGGCAAGTATTGTTCTTTTTGCCTAACTAAAATTGGTAAAGTTGGTTATTTGCTTAGTCTTAGCCATCAAGCCACCGAAGAAAGACTAAACTCCAAACAATGCATTTTACATGCATTTTTTTTTTTTTGGGTAAGTCAAGAAAAGTACTGTTGGTACTAGTTCATCCTAATTAGTGATTTTTTTTTGTTGGTTTATGATAAATTGAGAAAAGAAAAGGGCACAATGGTCGACTAGATTAAACTCAAATATCACACCAAAATGGCCTAGATGTTCTTGAACGAGGATTGAACTTGAAGAATAATTGAACATTTCGCCGTTGTGTCAATATAGCTAAACCTAGGAAAGTTGATTCTTTACTTTATCTTCTCAATCAAGCCTTCAGAANTTTTTTTTTTTTTGGGTAAGTCAAGGAAAGTACTGTTGGTACTAGTTCATCCTAATTAGTGATTTTTTTTTGTTGGTTTATGAAAAATTGAGAAAAGAAAAGGGCACAATGGTCGACTAGATTAAACTCAAATATCACACCAAAATGGCCTAGATGTTCTTGAAACGAGGATTGAACTTTAAGAATAATTGAACATTTCGCCGTTGTGGCAATATAGCTAAACCTAGGAAAGTTGATTCTTTACTTTATCTTCTCAATCAAGCCTTCAGAAAAAAAGAGACAAAAGAAGTAAAGACGATGCAACACTGAATGATTTCATTTTTGGTTGAAGAGTATCTCCATGCTTACTTCAAAGAGTGGCACAAATTTAACAAGCCAAATGTTACGTATGAGAATGAGCTTTCTTCTCATGGCCTCTCTGGGATGGACATCATTTTGTATTCCCACAAATTTTCTTTTCTGCTAGCTTTGGCTCTGTCAAGCGTAGGTAACCCTAATGCTATACTAATGTTCCAAAACACACCAAAATTAAAAACCCAAGACAAACATAAGTAACAATACATTATTTGTGACAGTATAATCGTATGTTGTTAAGTGATTGGTTCATCAGTACTAGATAGTGATGCAAGGAAGAGTGAAGCAAAAATTTGGGTCAGACAACAGAAACTATAATTTGTTCATTACTGCAATACTACCAAATTACAGCCTTCAAGAGCCTTGTTGATTCCTAAGAATACCCAGATAATTAGAATTGAAAGAGAACTAGTCTCTAAATTTTATTCAAAACAAGCCAAAGCTGCTGAATACATTTTTAGCAAAATATAAATAAGAAACTCTAATGGTCCTAGATTACTAAAAAAATCAATTAGAAATGAAATATTACGAAAGTAACCAAAACGGCGGAATAAAAATAGAAAAATGTCCTAACCGTTGTTTTTGGTTTAAAAATGACTAGAGTAAAGGCAAAGGCTTCAATCTTTGTCAGATTGCCGAGAACTTTAAAAAATAAGGTCTTTTGTAACATTTGTTCAAGTGCTAATATTTGTTCAGGTGCTATAATAAAAGGGGGCAGCGGATCCTCTGTTGTTCTAGAAGAACAGCACATTGTGCTATTCCACAAGACGGTAACGTTTTGTGAGCTATGACACCAGCAATTGTAATCCCTTTTCCCACCGGTCAAAATTTGAAGTTTTTCAAATAAGAACATTGCGTTGGAAAAACATATGATTAAAGTTTATATTGCATTATGGTATTGAAAGTTTATTTTTGGAATTAATTAGAGTACTGAAAAAATATTTTTTTGGTACAATATTTTAGATTTTCTAATGAAAAACTATGACGCATTCAAAATTTTCCTATTTTATCATAAAATGCAGAACAATGACAAAATATGGTATCATACTTTAATTTTTTATCCAATAAAAATGTGATACATGTAAAAATTTTATATTTTTTTTACAATTCATATTTGAATTCATTAAAATAAAAAAAATTATATTTGAATTCGTTAAAATAAAAAATTCAAATTTGAATCTGTTAAAATAAAATATTCAATCTAATCCGAACAACTTTGTACTCGAGTTTTAGCAAATTACATCATAATTTTGACACAATCTCATCAAATAATTATTTTATTTTATACATATAATTCAGGTCGGATAACAATCCTAATAAAAATTAGATATATCCAATATCCAAAATCATAAACTGTAATATAATCGATTAATGTTTGGAATCGAATTTGAAATAAAATATATTTACTTTTCGTTTGGCAAATTTACTCGGATTAGTTCAATTTTTTTATTTTTAATGGATTCAAATGTGTTGTAAAAATAAAATATAAATATTTGACACATCTCACATTTTTATTGGATGAAAAGTTAAAATATGATACCATATTTTGTCATAGTTTTGCATTTTGTCATATAATATGAAAAATTTGAACGTGTCACATTTTTTTAATTAGAAAAGCTAAAATATTGTACAAAAAAAATTTTTTTTGGTAATCTAATTAATTCCAAAAATAAATTTTTTGATACAATAATTGAATATAAACTTTAATCATTTGTTTTTTCAGTGCAAAGTTTTTACTTGAAAAACTTATAATTTTGACCAATAAGCAGGTGATTGCAATTGCTATTTGTTGGTGCCATTTGTCGGTATTCACAAGATGTTGAGGTCTTGTTGAACTGTACAATGTGCTGTTCTTTTGAACAGCAGAGGATCCGCTCCCAATAAAAGGGTCCGTTAAGTGACTTAGAGACGGGGTTTTTGAATAAATTTTGTTTAGAATCTCTCTCAATTCTTATGTTTGATTGAGTATTTTCATATGTCTTTAAAAACTTCAAGGATATCAATAGATGCAAAACAAAAAAATAATGGTGGTAGTGGTACTGGTGGTGTTGACAAGGTAAGATCTATTGATCATGCTTTTACTTAGTTGGGCATATTGTTGGGCTCTTCTTTCAACNCTTAGAGACGGGGTTTTTGAATAAATTTTGTTTAGAATCTCTCTCAATTCTTATGTTTGATCGAGTATTTTCATATGTCTTTAAAAACTTCAAGGATATCAATAGATGCAAAACAAAAAAATAATGGTGGTAGTGGCACTGGTGGTGTTGACAAGGTAAGATCTATTGATCATGCTTTTACTTAGTTGGGCATATTGTTGGGCTGTTCTTTCAACATAAACCTATAAGCCTCTATCTCTTCACCTGTTTTTTTTTTTTTCACATATAAAAATTTCCCTTTTGGGGTATCATCTTCATCAGCATGATCAATGTGAGTTTCTTTCTGACAGATCAATGTGGCATCTTCATCTTCATCTTTATCATCAGTAGATACGAACCAGGTAGTGTTTTGCCAATAAATATATTCTTTTCAATATGATTGATTATTAAAAAAGATATCTGTGGGTTTCTTTTTGACAGATCTTTCTTAATTATTATTTATGTTGGTTCCATTTAATATATATTTGATCTATTTGTTAAACTGATGTTTGCTCCCAACTACACCACTATTGTCTAACAGTCATTCTGGGCTTTTTTTTTTTTTTTTTCTCGGTAAGTAAGATGAAATCATTAAAATAAAAAAATACAAGGTGATACCATGGGATGACAGATCTTCTGAACAGGGGAGAAGAAGATCAACCATCCCAATCAGCAAAATAAAATACAAGGAATACAAATCCAAAAAGACTGAACAAAAAATGTACAAAGCAGAAACTTATCTGATGGAGCATCCAGAAAAGAAAAGAAGGAGGGAGCAGCCAACAAAACCAATGAAACATCAGTAGCAATCAGAACCCCCATTCCAAGCAACAGCAAGAAAGCAGCAGGAGGCACCCAAAAGCCTCTCAAGTAGACTAGGCTCCAACAAGCCCAAGTAGTAGCAGGTCAAGACAAACACCAGCAACNGTCCCGGTCCCGCCATTTGGAACAATACCAACTTTTTCCAAAAAACAACAACAAACTGTTAAAGAAAGGAGAAAGCTCAGGCACTCTTTTTGGTAACTGCGTTTTTACCGGTTCTCTCACTTACTTAGTCCCCCCCTTCTCTCTCTCTCTCTCTCTCTCTCTCTCTCTCTCTCCAAAATCTTATCAGATCTCCTTCCTTCATTCTCTGATATCTTCATTTCCCAGTCCAAGAAAATTCTACAGTTTATAAAACTCCTATTGATAGCAGCTGTTGGGGACATAGCAAAAGTGTAAGGAGTGGTTACGTGACATGCATGCGCGTGTGCCTACTGCCAAGAACAATGGTGGGGTTAACGTTACGGGAGACAAAATTGCAAATGCCCCTGAACTGACTCGGTCCCTGGTATGGACAGCTCGGGTCCTACCAGTTGGTTCTCTGAAAGATTCCCACGCTCGTTTCATGATCCGTGAAACAAACAACTCTCATTTCTCTCTATCTCTAATCTCCCATCAACCACCCCCAAATCCCACCCTCTGACTCCATTCCTCTTCTTCCCCTTATAAAATCAAAACCACCCTCTTAATCTCTCTCTCTCTCTCTCCATTCCCTTTTATTTTGTGGGACATTTTGATTTGGGGGTTTGGTTGAGGTGGTGCTGTTAGAGATGACAGGTCCAAACATGGCGACCATAACTGCATCGCTGGAAAGATCTCTTCAAAACTGCTCGCTAAACCACCACAACCACAACAGTAGTAGTAGCAGCAGCAATAGCATCGCAGGGGTTGGAAGGTCAGCAACTTCAGATTCGCCGGAGAATCATCATGGTGATCTCTCTAATAACTCATCAGACACCGNAACCACAACAGTAGTAGTAGCAGCAGCAATAGCATCGCAGGGGTTGGAAGGTCAGCAGCTTCAGATTCGCCGGAGAATCATCATGGTGATCTCTCTAATAACTCATCAGACACCGCATTGGAACTCAATTCCCAGATCTCCCTTCCTTACCACTGGGAACAGTGCCTCGATTTAAAGGTTCCTTCTCCGTTAAAGTACCTTTGATTAATTGGAGTTAAAATCACACACACTCATCATCTCCTTTTTCTCTTTCAGCTCACATTTAATACACAAAGCCTTCAGTTCACAGATCTTGTACGATCTTTCCTTTGTTTCTTTCTCAAAGTTCCCTTCTTTAATGTCTGATATTTAATGCATGTCTTGGATTATTTCTCTCTCCTTTACTTTTCTCCTTTCACCCTCAGGGAAAAAAGAATCACAAACCCAAACCAAAACCCTAAAAAAGGCACAAGTTTTTCCCACCTTAATCACCGTCATTATTGATTACTTTCTTCTCTTCCTCATGAGATCAAAGCAAAATAAACAAAGAAATTCATTCTCTATTAGTGCCGGAGTTGTTCCTATTAGTTTTGTTTGACAGGGTACAGTTGGTTTTTAAATTAGCATGCTGATGATAATCCTTCTTGATCATTAATGTCATGATGGTAATCGTATGCTTGTTTTTTCTTCCTTGCATTCAGCATTTTTATTTTTCTGATTTCAGAGTTTTTCTTCGTTTATAATATAATGGGAAATGGGAATGCTTTATTAATTGTTACAGACGGGGGAGATATATTACATAAACTGGAGGACGGGGATAAAAGCGAAAGAAGATCCAAGAACAAGGGGTGAGTCTAGTGGAGATATCTACAGCGATGATGATGATAGGTCGTCGTATGACAGTGAAGGGTCTTCATCGGAGTCATCTCTATTATCATCAAGAGAACCACATAATTTTCAGGAGAGAAATGGTCATAAAGACCATATACTCGTTGTGGCTGGGTGCAAGAGCTGTCTAATGTACTTCATGTTGCCCAAACAGGTCGAGGATTGCCCCAAATGTTGTGGTCAACTTCTCCATTTTGATCGCTCCTTTGATAATACCAGCTCTCCATGAATAATTAGTGATTCCATTTATATATCTTCTGAGTCTTTCAGGTTTTTTTTTATAAATTATTATTTTGAAAATTTATTTCTCTTTATATGCTTTTGAAATCATCTCTGTGCTTTCAGAAGTATAGTTTTGGCTTTGGGAGTTGATTGGTGAAATCATGAGACCAAAGGCCATCTTTCTTCATAATATCGTGCCATTCTCTCTCTATTATGCTAGCTAGCTAGCTAGCTATTACGTTGTTTCCTCTTTCCTTTTTCATGTTTGTGTACATGTATTGTCTTCTTCACTGTCTTGAGGACAAAGTAGTGATGAATCCTGAAGGTAGCAGTAACAGTAGCAGCAAGCTAGTCAAACTCAAACATGGTAGAAGAAAAATAAAATTATATTGGTAATGATCACGACTAGTTGCTTTCCCGATTCCATTAATCATGTCCATGTTTTAATTAAGAATAAGATTTATTACAATATAATCAAACCACTATATATTTAGGGATATGCATAAGTAAGTGGGTAGCATAAACTATACAATATAATGCGTACGTGCTCATATTATAACCAACATTAATTGCACCTTCATATAATCCTTCTAATTTATGGCGACAATTTTATATTTCTTTCTGAGTTTGTTCTAAATTCCTCATCATCCTGTTTCAAACTCAAAAGGCATGAAGCATTGCAATATTGATGTAATGTTCTATATATCATCATCTATCATCATTGAATGGTTGACTTGTGTGATTGGTATATACTAGCGATACCCATGACTAAAGTCATTGTACACTAAATGATTACATTGTGCGTGTATTGAAATGTGTGTTGGAGTGTGTATGTATGTACAACTGTGTGTTGTAGAGTGTGTGTTGAGTTTTTGAAATTTGGGGGGAGGGGAAAGTAGGGATGTCAATGGACCGAAGCGGGGGCAGAAGGTATAGTCTTCATCCCTGTACCCATTTAAAAAATCTTCATCCATCCCCGGTTCATCCCCACTAACAGGGATAATTTTTATCCCCATCCCGTCCGCGGGTAAATTTATAATCTTCGTTCCCGTCCCCGCTTTTCCCGTACCCGCCCAAACCCAAGCATAAGCCCAAGCCCAAGCCTAAACCTAAGCTCAAGTTCAACCCAACATAATTCAAAATTCTAAATAAATCCAAAATTTTAAATAATTCAACAACATTCTAAATAATCTAACACAACATAATGTAGAATAACATATTCGAACATAACAAAAATCACAAATGTCCAAAATACTACTTAAATTTGATATAATTTAACATTATACAACATAACACAAATAACATAACGGGTGGTAGAATCATCTTAATCAAATATTTTCATGACTCAAGATGGAAACTATAGTCTCATTAGTTAAGAAAATACTCAGAAATAGAAGAAAAACCAATGTCACAAGGTCGAGTACTCATTATTTTATCGCTATGATATTGAGAAAAGATTCAGAAATAGAAGAAAAATCATTAAGTTTGTTTGTTTGCTCCATTCATTAAAAAAGAACATAACTTTTATCTACCAAAATCAGTGCGATCAGAACATCAAGTTTTGTGAGTAAATGTTACCAAATGCATATCTCTAAAGATCATTTATGAAAATACTTATTCGTTAAAAAAATATTTAAATAGAAAAGACTAATGCAAAAAANTTTTATCTACCAAAATCAGTGCGATCAGAACATCAAGTTTTGTGAGTAAATGTTACCAAATGCATATCTCTAAAGATCATTTATGAAAATACTTATTCGTTAAAAAAATATTTAAATAGAAAAGACTAATGCAAAAAAATACTTATTCGTCAAAAAAAAAACATTTAAATAGAAANTTGTTTCCCTTTCTTGATACTTCAAACGGTGGCTTGTCTTCTTCTTTTTATTTTTTAAGCTCATCAACCAATGAACGAACAATTGTCTTAATTAAGTTTTTGTTGTTTGGGTCTACTGAAAAAAGTTTTGATTTAATGATGTCTCTTAAAAACTGACAAATACGAAAGCAAAATGAGGAGGTTAAGGCATATGGTGCTAATGTTGACGATAACATTCTTTATGTTGAGGTTGGTTTTTGAAAGTTTTTTTATTTCTCCTCTTATGCAAAANGGTGCTAATGTTGACGATAACATTCTTTATGTTGAGGTTGGTTTTTGAAAGTTTTTTTATTTCTCCTCTTATGCAAAATTTTCTTAGATATTGTACACTTTTGGAATATCTGGTGAGTGATGAGGTTGGATTGGTTTGATAATGATCACATGATGAGAAAACTTATGCACTTAAACAAGATCATTATTTGTCTTCAATCAATTGAAATTGACTTTTATATGAATTTAGTGAATAGTAAGTGACGAGCTTAGATCTAATTGGGCCAGTCAGTAAATCAAGCAAGTCTAAATCCATTAGGAAGGCAGCCCAAGCCCGGTTCATCAATCCGACCCAATCCAAGATTCAATGAGTCCATGAAGAAAGAAAACGTGGGGTAGAGATCATCGGGACACATAGTCTCAAAGATTTAGGCTACCTTAATTGTACTTACCTTTGTAACTATCATCCCCGAAGAATTAGTACCCTCACACTCATGTCACTGCCTCACCATGCCTATAAATTGTAAGCCCTCTCCTTTGAAAGGGGCATCTCACCACACTTCTCTACACACACACACATAGCTTCTCTCTCGGAGCTAACAATTGCTCTCTCCCCCGTTTACCCTACTTCATCAATAAAGACCCCCCCGACCACCGTTGTTGTTTTTCAAAGTAGAGTATGTCACCCAAATCGAACCACTATATATCTATGTATTGACTCAATATTTACATTACTATTATTGATTGTTTTATTTATTGTCAATTAATTATATCTTATCACACACTCGACTATTGATCTTGCATAAGACTATTTTGTACATCATCAATTTGACATTGTTTGTGAGAAACAACTAAGTTTTCTATTACCTTGCTATCCATGACATTCAAGACTAGGTCGATGAGTCAACAACCGGGAGATAACAACCCGGCCCATCGGGAGGAGGCTCTGTCTCCCCTCGCACCCTCGGAACTATCCATTGCGGCAATTCTTGCGATCGGGCAACAACTTTTATAGACCATGCAACTGCTAGTAAACCAGAACCAGTAAATCATCCAATTGATGCTCACCTCGGGAGGCGTCGCCCTTCAGCCCGTAGAAGGAGCACCACTCCCTCAAAGGGGAGAAACATAACAACCTCTCCACTCTGGGCGTCAAGCTGCCCCCATTGTGGAGCCTCGTGCCAAAATGCCCCCGGACAACTCTTGGGTGCCCTCGCCTAGGAGTCCCTCCTCAGTGCGCAAGAAGTTCACCTGTTCCCCCTCCTCATGTACCTATGCAGGAGGACGAGGGAGAAAACCAGTATGCCGATCATGAAAGCCATTATAACAACCTGAAGGAAGATGTCCCCAATCAATGGGACGAGAAGATCAAAGAGGTGTAAAACCAACTCGGCGATGCCCTTAACGTCATCAAGGCACAAGCACCCGATACGGTGGATTACTTGGTAAGGCGCACTGATATTCTGTTTGTTACAGACATTGTCAATTACCCCCACCCTCGAAGTTCAAGATGTCTACCATCAAGATCTTTGATGGTACCAAGGACCCTTTAGATCATCTTGACACCTATAAGTCTCTCATGCAACTCCACAACGTGATTGATAAGATCATGTGTAGAGCATTTCCCACCACCTTGAAGGGGTCTGCTTGACAATGGTTAGTGAACATCAAACCCTCCTCTGTCTACTCCTTCGTGGAGATAAAAAAATCTTTTGTCTCCCACTTCATTGGGGACGCTGACATCAGAAGCCTATTATCCACCTACTCACTATCAAGCAGGATCGAGATGAAAGCCTTAGAAGCTACTTCACTCATTTCAATGAGGAGGCTCTCCACATCAAGGAGCCAGATGATAAGGTAGTTCTAGCCGCCTTTATTCCTAGTCTACACTCCTCTAGCTTTATGTTCTCTGTCCTCAAGAAGCTACCCTCTAACATGCCTAAGCTATTGTCAAGGGCACAAAAGTACATGAACGTTGAGGACGTCACCAAAGCTCATCTAGGTGATTCCTCCCGAGGAGGGAAAAAAGGAAGGTAACTCGTGAAGACAAGTGGGAGGTAGAGAAAAAGAGAAAGAAAATCGAGAGAGTCTCTGTCAAAGACCGTCTCGATCCTGTACCCCCGAGAGAACGAAAGCCTTTCATGCCACTCAACGCCTCAGTGGAGTACATCTTATTCCAAACACAAGATGACCCCGAGCTCTGCTGGCTCAAAAAAATGAAATCTGACCCAAAGCGCAGGAATCCCAATAGGTACTGTCGCTTCTACCACGACCACGGCCATGACACTGATGACTGGTTCCAGTTAAATAGACAAATCGATGAGCTTATTCAGCATGGCTGGCTGAGGCAGTATATTGCTGGCCAAGGACCCGCTCCACAATCCAGTCAAAATTAGGAGAATCGAGAGCGCCAGTAGCCCCTCGGAGAAATCTAGACTATCGCCGAAGTGTTAGGAGGAGGAGGTGACTCCAATTCTGCCAGAAAGACACACACCCAAAAAGTCAGATAGGCAAAGTCACATGACTCTCGCCCAAGGAAGACGCCCTGGCACGGGGATGAAGAAGTCATTACCTTCTTAGACAGGGACCTCGAAGGGATTCAAGTCCCTCATGATGATCCTTTAGTCTTGACCCTGATGGTAGTCAACTACCATGTTAAGAGGATCTTGGTTGATAGTGACAGCTCAACCGATATTCTGTTTGCAACAGCTTTTGACAGCCTTCATCTAGGCAAAAAGAGATTACAGCCCATCAGGACTCCCCTTATTGGTTTTTTGGGAGAAAGGGTCTACCCCTTGGGTTCCATCACCCTGTCGATTACAACAGGAATAACACTAAGGAATTCCACCATCATGGTAAATTTTATTGTACTTAACTATCCCTCTACCTATAATATAATTATTGGACATTTTGCCCTCAATACCTTATGTACAGTGTCGTCCATCTA